TATCCCAACTGCTTACCAATTATACCAATTTTGAACCAATTATACCAACTCAAGCACAAGATAGCAAACTTACCAGGCAGAATACCACGGACTTTAGTTTCACATGCGTCACTTGACAAATCGGTGAGCAGCTTCGCCTTGGGACGCTTGAAAAGCGCATCTGCATGCATAAGTTGAAGACCACTAAACACGTCTTCAATCTCAGACAGAGTAATTGCCTCGTGCAGCGCAAGCTCGGCAAACTTGGCGAGCGTCACATCCCCGATTGTTGTTAGGCGGCCGGCAAGTTCATGGCTCTCTTTGTACTCTTTCTTCCGTTTAGATTTCTTTACCGCCTGCTGCAACCGTGGCCGTCCAGACGGACGACTAGCTTCGTTCAAGTGAACCGCGGACAGAGGTAACTCTGCCACGTTCTCGTTCGTAGTCGGCGCGTGTTTCCCCTTGTCAGATACTCCATTGTCGTTGGTCACACTCTCCATATCGAGACGGCGTCTAGTTGTACTCACTTCTACAGAACCGTCATTAATCATGTGGCTTTCTCCACAATTATCATCCGCACCAACCGGTACGGGGTTCCCATTATCTCTAGCGTTCCGCTCGAGGCACTCAAGATGCGAAAGCCATCGACTATAGTCTGTCGTCCCTTTGTCAGCAACGACTTCGGCGATCCGTTGGCAGACGGTAAATGCGTTCTTGTACTTGGCATTGTGTGAAATCACTTTTGATGACTTCACCCCAGGCACGTCTGCAATCGCAAAGCTAGACACCTCCACTGGGCGCAGGTCAGCATCCTCAGCTTCTTCAAGCAAGCACCATCGTGGCGGGATATTTTCGCAGGTAATAGCCGTAGATTTTGACTGCTGAAGCCGCAGAAATATAATATGGCGACACGGTAACATTTGAGTCTGGTTGAAGACGCAACTGCACGTGTTTGTATCCACGTTCACCTGCAGAATTTGAATTTCCAGAATAAAGTGAGGCAAATTAAAAATAAATAAATCAATAAACAACATACCGCGTAGTCTTGCTGAGTTACTTTGCTTCTGAGAGTTTGAAACGTTGACGTCAGTCCATCTGCTACCACTGCATCTGCTACCACTGTGTATTCTGCCTTTTGACAAGCCTTGTACTGCTCCTCCACGAGATTACAGGCATGGTGCGTGGCTATACGAGCTAACATCTTCATTTCTCGGTCGTAGCCATGATTTACACGATGACCGATCCGTGTAGTCTTGATCTTGTAAGAGTCTTCAGCTGCCTGCTGTAAAAATAGAAGTGTTTCAATACATTCATCCATTGGCATGTGTCTCGACAATACGTCCTTGGCAGCACCCCAGCTAGCCTCAAGCCTATTGTTGGTGTTATTATCGAGATGTGGCAGCTCACCTCGACGGAATGTACACCATCGATCTTTGCACGAAAGCCAGTTGGTCTCCAAATACTCCACAAATGCCAACTTCCCACGACATAACTCCTTCAGAGCATTCAGGTAGTGATCAAATAGCTCCTCAGTTGTAGCTCGAACCATAATCGTAATAAAGTTCTTGAGGTGAAGCTTTTCGAAGTCCGTAAAACCGTACTCACGTTTACTGATTTCTCGCTTGAGATAATCAATCACATGAAAGTGACACAGGATAATAGAAGCCTCAGGAAATTCAGCCTCGAGTGTGGATAGCTCGGTAAAATCCTTGTCAATAACTATGACTTGGATTTCCTTCCAGCATTCGTTGTAGATCTTGAGCGCCGAAATTGCGTTTTTCATGTTCTGTTCAGTTTCACCATTAATCAGTGATTGCTGCGCAAACGCTCCGCACCCGAATTTGCCCGTCACCATGAAGCTAAAAAGCCGATACCTAGAAAGGAATAGTTGAGAATGGTTAGAAAGATATGATAATATAAGCTAAATAAACATGATTGGTAAGTAATTGGTATAGTAGTTGGTATAGTAATTGGTAGCGAAACTGGGTATCCAATTATTTCCCAATTATACCAACTATACCAACAGAGTCACCAACCAAACCAATTACGTCATTCTGCTCACCTGTTGATGTTCGTGCCATGAGTAGCATCAATGCAGACCACCTCAGGGAACAGACGCGCCATGCGCCTCATATGACTCGTCTGGAAGGCAATACAGCTTGTTAACTGAGAGTCCGTGTCGGTACACCCTCACCACGTTACCGGGACCCTCGCTGAAGTCCTGTAGTAGCTCCGTAACGCGAACGTTGGCGTCAGGCGAGGTGTAGGACTCACGTCTCATCTCCGCGATCATGTTGTTTACATCTTGCGTTTGAATCGGCTTTCCAGATACATCTTTCAGGTATCGGAGGATTTTTTTTCTCTTGGCTCCACCTTCATAAAAACAAACATAGTGATACGTAAATAATAAAACAATTTCCTGATTGCTTGCGGCGTACCTTGCCACATTGTCCGAACGACACTTCGAGTAGCAGGTGATGTGATCTTCCGCGTCTCTGCGTATGTGTTGAACACGTTCTGGCCGATGGCGTGGTTGTGTGTGAATCGTGCAGCTTCACGCGCACGCGAAAAGAACCATCCTCGTCGACGAACAACAATGCATTCAGCTTCGCAGGACACTGAATTCGACGTGCTGTGTGATTCGTACGCTTCCCCTGCCCTTTAGGCTTGAATTGACCTCCATGAGTGCATGTCCATCCCTTCGTGTAGTACAGAAGTGCTTCATCCCATAACTTTGGCTGCGTTCCACGAGCCTCCGCTTGCCGAGCACGAGCTCGATTGCGATCTCTAATTGAGTTGCTCGTCCGCAGTTTGTAGACTTGGAATGTATCGCGCTGGTAGCTGGGAACAAAACAAAATTATTCAAAATTGATAAATAAAATTAATTGCAAATAATTGTACATACCCGCTGAATGCCGCCTCCATATCATCCCACGAGTCAAATACCCCAGCGAAGGGCTCACACATCACACGAACTTCGGCTTGATCAGCGTCGTCTGGATCGCGGGAGTTTCCGTCAACTGGCGGGATGGCATCAGCGTCGGTGACGCTCCTCTTCGTCTTTTTTGCTGGCCGATGCGTGCTGGCCCCTGGTGACTTTACGCCGCTGCCCCCCGATGTTATCTCGTCCCTTCCCTCAGCAAGCTTCTTGTCATGCACCGTGTCTACCTCGCTGCTGCGCTCGCCTCCTGGCGTTGGCGCGCGCTTGACCTTCTTCGCTTCCTCCATTTAAGCGAACGGGGGATAAGAAATGAGCGGACAGGAACGGTTTGAAATGTCAAAACTTTAAAAATCGAAAAAAATCAATTGTGTGGTTAGGGTAAAGTCGGTATTTCAGATTGTACTTTTTCTACAAAAATAGTTGGTGGATCTAGGCACTTCCTTAATTAAAAGGACAAAAAATGTGTCTGATATGACAGTTGAGACACTTTGTTTAAAATTAAAATTATATTTTATTAAGTCATTCCAGACACCTAACGGCACAGCAGCTCATGCAACAACGTGTAGGTTTAGCGAAGAATTGCTAGTATGGTTGTAGAGAGCAAATTCAGGGATACATTTTTATATATCACCACGGGAGCATCTACCAAAACTGAGGCCAAGCAAGGTCATCAACTTTTGGTCCTCATTTTTGTCCAAAAATTTTTCTTGTTGGGGTTAAACCTTGTTGGCACCTTGGGTGTTGAAGCGAGTGCTATGACTCGCAATCAAAAGTAGCTGGAACCTCGGCGGCAAATTGTGTTGTTGCACCGTGTCCCCAGAATTAGGCAGAACATGAGCAGGAACTTATGGACGTTGAGATGTGCATTTCGTGCCGATTGCAGACGAGGTTTAAACACCGAACCACCTTCTCACAACTCGTACGTTGGCCACGAGAAAATATAAAAAATCAACAACAAGTAACGTAATAATCTACACGGAAGTGCTGCCAGTCCACAACAGGCACACAGAGACGAGACCTTCCTCTGGCGCACGAAGCTACTCGTGTAGCTATTGTGGTCGCATTACATGTACATGTGTACCTATTAATAGAAGTCGGTTTGTGGTCATCAATCCGTATTTTTGCACAAAATTTATGTTCCGCATCGGATCGTGCCACAGGACAACAGAAGCAGGGTACGACATCAAGCGATGCCCTAGCGCTTTCGTGGCGTCGGGCATCGGATGATGTGCCGCCAATTCTCGCGATATACTCTTACAGTTCAGTGTTACTGTACCAGTACCGGTACCAAGAAGCTGCCACTATAATACAGTACGGATAGGTTCATCTTCGCATCACTTGCAAGGTTATTATTAAGGATGATATGATGATCCGACGTGACTTCAATTTTTTCTGCCTCTACGGATTTAGTTGGTTTCGCGCTGCAGGGAGCAACAACATGTATTATTAAGCTCTGCTGTCCGTCCGCTATGTTCGTGTATACGTTCGACGACTCCAAAGATGCGGTCTTGCAACCTCGTCTCTCGCCTTAGAGCGCCGTGCCTCAGTACATTTCGAATTAAAAAAGAACCTCGCAGCGAATCCATAGATTTGAAAACTCCAGCTCTCAAAGCAAATTCACGAACTGTTGGTAGTGTTGTCGGTCAACGAGATCACGGGGGCAACGGTAACTTTAGCGAATAGACAGACGACCGATTGCCAGCCGCTCGTACATGCATTGCAAATAGCAATTTGCAATCGGTCTCACACCGTGCAGTTTGGCTTCAATTTCAACGTGACTCTGTTGCCTGACTCATTCGATTTGAGCCGAGCAAAGCCGAGCTCACCGAGCACAAATTCGTGGCTGGCCGCCGAGTTCATGTTCAAATCGCCGGAGTTCTGGCTTGTTTACGCCTGACGCGATTGAGCTAAAGGTCTCCGATCGGGCAAGAACCAGCGCAAGCCGCAGTTGCCAGCTGGGACAGCTTCGTACTGAGTCCGTGAGGCTGTCCGAGCCAACTTATGATAACGCAGTAGACTAGCCCTCCCTGCTCTCACAACCAAATTCTCGCTCCTACCGTCACATTCGATTGAGAGAGCGATGATGGCAAGCCGTAGAAACCTCGAACACGTCCCCGCGCCGTTCAGCGATGCTGTGATCGGAAATGTCCTCACACGCTCCGCAACCTCTGGGTATCGATTCTTGAATTCAAACAGCAACAGCTACAATCCGAGCATACCTTCGCAGCAGCGCCCGATCCAATTTACTCCCTCTTCCACATTTCGACTACCCCCATTACGAAAATTGTCACCGCTGGCAGGTTCAGAGACTAGTCCAGCAGAGCAGACCGAACTCAGACCGATGACCAGTAGAATTCAAGGTGACGCCATCCCGACTCCTTTGGTGAGAAGTTTCCCTTTAAACTGCAGCGCTCAGACAGCCTCGCCATACTCGCAGCCTTCTAGCAGCTTTCAGCCTGCAGATTCACCTGCACGGTCCGTCTCAGCCGCAGTCGCCACCCTGTCAATCAACAATCTGTTGAACTCGACGCCCAAACAGAAGAAGAAGCGCCGAGTGAGCGTCAAATCGGAAGCGTGTCGAGAACAGTGTCGAACCAACCAGGCTCGGTATCGTCAGAAGCAGCGCGAATACGTGTCAAAACTCGAGTCCAATGTAGCACAGCTACGCGACGAGATCCCGATGCTAGAAGTGCAGCGACGACGTCTTCGCTACGACTCGCAGCAACGTGTTTGGGACGTTGTGGTCGAATATTTCCAGCTCTTCCGTCACGGAGTTGGCGACGCGTTTAACCAGGGATCTGCCAACTCGACCGACGTCCTGCGAGCATCGGAAGCTCAGCAGCAATTGATGTTCTTACGGTCTACAATGGCTCCAGACGTCGAGTTTGGTAATGTGAGTGGCGTCGAGATTCTCATGGAACATTGGCGGCGATTGTCTGAGTACCACGAGGATCTACACTTGCACCTTGCACACATGGATAAGGTCACTGAGAGTATCGTCACTGCTACGGCTACACTGAGCGTTACTATCACGAAAACTACGCTAGAATGCGTCTTCCCACGCCTCATGAGCTCCGAGAACGTAGACGATTTATCTCTAGCAGTGAAGCTTCTAGGCCACAAACTCGAGTACCCGTGCTCTGTACTATTCGTCTGGGATGAAGAGACGAGTCTCGTGGTGCGCATGGAGACCGACATCGACATGGCAACGCCTCTCCTCGGACTTCTAGGCAATCTCTACGACGTTTCCCGCGTATTAGAGGGGGCGGTCATGGCTCCAAGTAGCTACCTCAACGAGAGGCATCCAACAGCATGATACATACATTTAGATCGATAGCGATGTACTTCAAGTACCTATTAGCCTCTAAGTACACATGGTTTAGCCTTGATCATCTCACACACCGCACATGCGCCATCTGTACAAGCTTCAATCTCTCTTGTCTCCATGTTTCTACTGCAGCTATTGTACTGTAGACTCATAGGTACATCATGGTGAATTATGCCACACTGGTCGAGGTTTCTCGAGCGTCAACATCCAACCGGGTGGTGCATATCCACACGACTTGAGCTGGCGTCAGAGAGAAGACCCCACACGCCTCTAAGATGGTCGTAAGCTGCTCCACTGGAGCCTCCAAGCCGCCATCTGCGGTCTCATCCTCAAGAGCTCTAAAAACATCAAGTAATCGAGACGCAGGCATCTCCAAGAGGTGGCAGACCTCGCGTGTAAGACGGAAGTACGACCGAGGCAGCGTCTTCGATGAGCCTGCCGAGAAGACTGCTACGAGTGCCTTGATGTCTTGAGCGAATTGGCGCTCCCCAGCACAGCTCAATCGAGAGGATTCCTCCGTCACCACAGCCTGTGGCACAGGGTTGTAAAATGCATCAAAGAGAGCGTCGTCGAGAGCCGATGCCAAAGGTTTCCAAAGAGCGGGCCAGTATTCGGACACCAAAAGTTTACGCGCGCACAACAGGACGTTGCTGACCGACGTGTAACAGCTCGCCAACTCACAAGAAACTCCGCGCATGATCTGCACTTGGTTTTCGTCTGCATCGTCATCGTACGTCTCCGTCCAGAAGGGGCTGCAAAACAAGGACACGGACACATGGCAGTGCCATGGGCACAGATGAGTCAGGAGCGGGTTCAAAAGGTAAAAAAAAAGATAAAGAGACTGAAGGGAGTTGAGATATCCACGCACCTCGAGCGATAAGTCTCCACGTCACGTTCCACTGCACGCACCAACGTGTTCGTGCCTCCTTCAAGCAACGTCGAAGCCAGCGCCTTGAGCTCCGCAATCTGCCGCTCGAATAGCGTGTGCGAGAAGACAAGTGTCTCAGGATCGTCTTGATCTTCCGCCGACTTGTTGTCGTTGTTGTTCGCTTCAGCAGCCGGAGGAGCACTTTCCACTGCTGGGACTGGAGGAGAAACTGGAGGCTCAGCCTTCTCGTCGGTCTCTGCACGGCGGAAAAGGCTCTTAACGGTCTTGGATCCCACCGAATATGCAGCGGTGAGTGCGGCCGTAGGTCCAATCATGGCTCCTGGTCCAGCCAGCGCTCGTCGAACTGCCGTCGCTTCTTCTGTAGCCAGCACAGCAGCAGATGCACGCGCAAGTACCTGCTTCGAGTACGCCACGTGCATTCGCAACACCTGAGCCCTCGTCGTCTCCGAGCGCGCAACCTTCCGCGACAGCTCGAGAAAAACGCTACTCTGCTCCCAAGCAGCCAGTGTCTGAGCTACATGTTGCAGCGCATTCACCACCACGAACAGCTCTCCCCATGAGCTCTGCATATTCTTGGACAACGCACTGATCAGCTGGCGTCCACGAGCATCACACACCTGGCCAAAGCGATGCAGAAGCGGTAGATGCACTTGCATGACGTACAGATATCTGTGCTCCTCCGTCTCCATGAGCATGAATCGCTGCGAGAGGAAGTCCAGGAGGGCGACAAACCGGAGAGTAACCGGAGGGGCCAGGTCCTGCTCCGAGGTAGTAGAACCATCGCGACGTTCGTACACGTCGTCGTCCAACTGCCACACTGAGTCTTGCTGCTTTCTGTCACCCGAACATTCCGTCTCAAGGGTCAACGACAACACGCGGTGCGCGTACTCTACGTCCGCGCTGGTCCAGGCGAACAATACGTCACTACTTGATGTGAACACATCGATAACACGCGGATAGCCACGGCGGTCGGTATTGGCCCAAGACCCGTAGCCGATGTCCTCGTCAATATTCTGTTCAAAGAGAAGAACTTCGTCCAGAGTATGACACAAGAGAGGCGGGTGCTGAGGAGAAGCCACAGTTAGTTCCACAACTAACAAGGTTCTGGCCACCGTGAAACACAACGCACCGCTAACAACGTGGGCAGATCCCGTGTCAGTTTACGACAAGCAGCTTCCACGAGTCCACGCAGTACGAGGATCTGTGCGTCCCAGCAATGGATTTCTTCTCGGTGGCGATGCAGCTCCGGGGTAAGAGCATGGGCCAGGAGCCGCGTGTGTGCGTTGGTCTGCTCGTGTACGTGGCTCAGATACCATTCAGGCTTGGCTAGACGATTCGTCGCGCTCTCAGGTCGCTCGAAGTGGTAACGGAAGCGCAGGAGCAGAGGGTCCAGCACACAATCCATCGCCCATAGAGCCGTCGTCGCCGCTAGAGACCGAGGTTGTTGACTAAGTTGTAACGTCAACAAGTACGCGAAGGCCTTCGACACGTCGTGAAGCTCCGTCTCCTGCGATGAAATAGAAGCATCATAAACCCGTTAGAACCCTCGCCTTTCGTCTGCTCTTTTCCCCACTAATTTCCACACCTTTTTAGCGAAGTCCTGCTGCGTTTTCAAAGGTTCTGGCCACCCGATCTTCTCCAGTGCCAACTGAAGTTTCTCCACTGCAAATTGACGGAGATCCACCGATAGATCCTCCACGCGACGAGCTGCTTCTCGTTTAATGACGGAAAACTCGTCGGGAATAGAAGCAGCAAAAGTAGCAAAAGTCTTGAACGCCTCAAGTGCGTCAGGTGTGGCTTGGACGGCCTGCGTCTTGGCTTCATGACTCAGCTTCTCAACCTGCACGGCCGCTTCAAGATACTTGGCTCGACTGTGAAGCGTCTGCAGCTTGGTGAGCCCTGGTCGAACGATTCTCTCTAGCTGTAGGAAATGCTGCTCTGCAAGAGTGAGTTGTGGTTGTAGTGACTTAAGTTCAGTGTGCACCGCTAAAACTTCGTCATGCTCTTCGATTGTGTTAATACGGTCTGGTGCCTCGACCAGATCCAGTGCTGTTCCCAGCTCCGCCAGCTCCTCCTGTGTACGCAAACGCAGGGCCTCGAGTTCGGAGGAGACTACAGTCCAGTCCACATCCTGCAACTCTTGGTCCGACGCATCCGAGTGAACGGCGGCCAGCAACGTCGCGCTCAGCGTTGAGAGCGGAGATGCAGGTAGCATTTCTTAGCGACGTGATAGTTAGAAAACTCAGATTTGCGAGGAGGCTAAAATTTAGACTCTAAAACAGTTTCAGATTACTTATCGTCAATTTGATGTACAAGACTATGGCAGCTTATGTCATTCCGACGGAGACCAAGTAACTCCGACAGAATGAATGCGACTTATTGGACTGCGACAAATTCCAGGGCGTACTAGTCTTAGAATAGCATGATGCCGCAAGTTTCGGTGCCACGTTTTGAACCTTGTGGTCGGTAGTTTCGCAGACTCGCGCTCGACTGGGGATGGGACCGAGTTGGCATTGACTTGTACTCGGTCGATGTTCCGGTCGATGTCTTCACATGATGTCCTCTCCACGTGCAGAGGAGACGACGACCATCGACGAGAACGAGTCGGATCAAATGCTTGACGATGACACGGGGAGAAGCGGAGACCCGGACGAGACGGCGTCAGGGGCATCCATGCCCTTTAATCGCTTGGTGACAACGTCTGCAGTGGCTGCAGCTCTCGCCGAAGTGCAAGGAACGGAAGCACAGAGTGAACGCAGCAAAAGGGGGCGACTCGACCGACGGCATTCAGGGGGATTGGAGCCACTAATGGAATCTGATAAGCACAGCACAGACCCAGCTCTCGATGTACAGCTTCCTAATAATGGCCATCGCATGAGCGCTCCTAGTATCGACCCCGTCTCAGCGATCAAGCCAACGAGACAAGACAATGTATCACCTCGAACTCACTTTAAACGAGCTACGAGCACACACCTTGCAGGTATGCGGGAGCGACTCAAATCTGCAGAGACCAATGGGACAACTACAGTAACTATTAAACGATCTCCAAGTGCCGCAGCTATGCCGGCATTTAAGCGAATGCCTAGTTCCGGTACGACTCCTTCGTTCCGAGCAGTGGCCAAAGCCGTGGCCGTGAGCGGGAACGCGACGACTGCGATGAAAGACCAAGGTCAGAACTATGAACAGATGATGGCGCGCTTTCAATTGCGGCGGCTCGAATTTACAGGCTCTGGTCGAAATCTCGACAATGAGGCCAAAGTACCCCACCGACGCAGTACAGCGTACATGGCTCCAGTGGATTCCGAAATGAGCCAGCCGCGACTTGATGACATTATAAACTCAACGCACCGACATAGCGAGGGCGAGCACATGGATAACACAATCGGTCGTGAAGGAGACCGACATATTTTAGCCTCATCCCAGTCTCGGGTCGATTCTCAAGCGGAGGAGAGCCCTCGTCGTCCTGGAGCACCTTCTTTCCACTCGAATAACCCCATAAGTATTGCTGCGCCTCCTGCAACTGCATCGATTGTTCCAGTTGATGACCTTGGAGCGACGAACGGAGCTCTGGGAGGGCCAAAGCGCTCCATCGCATCCGCTGTCAAGATTCCGCATTCTCCAGCTCTTGAACCAGACCAAGTTCGTATTTCCAAGCACCAAGAGAAAACTGAACCAAGTCAATGGCAACAACGACATTCTCCAGCGGCGAGAAAAGAATCTGGTGGGGTTCTTAATCGAGATCTATCCAGTTTTCAGAAGCTTAACTCACGCGGAGGAAGTCGTCCACGTCCGCTTCCACGTTTAAAAAAGAGGACAAGAAGTGTACTGTCGAGGTTACGCACGCCCCTGTCCCCCTATTCGAGGACTGCTCGTGTGCGCAGCTTTATCCTGCTGATAGCCTTCTGTGTGCACACGCTGGGGTTTCCGTACGAAGAAGCTTTCCATAACGGTGGGCGCGCGTGGTTCATTTCCGTCGACTCCTTGACTGAAATGGTATTTTATGCCGAGTTTTTACTGGCATTCAACACGAGTTATGTCAACAAACGTGGAGTTCTCGTGGTTTCCAGACGACATATCGCGCGGAATTTCCTCGCTGGAGCGTGCGTCTTCCAGTTCGTGGCTGCATTTCCGTTTCGAACTACTATGAAAGGTGGGGGTGAAAATTCTACACAAACTGAAATAGGCAAAGACGCGTTCGGTCGCTTTTCGCATACGCTTCTAGACATTGTCATCCGCTCTCACCGTGTCGTACATATCTTACGTCTTTTTCGTGAGATTGGGCAGGCCCGCGGCGCTCGAATCGAAAAGTCCGTGTGGGGGTGGCTTCTCTACTCGCGGTATTCCCATTTGTTAAAAATTGTCTGGATTGTGGGCGCTGTGATGCTAATTGCGCACTGTGTCGCCTGCTGCTGGAGACTTTTACTCCTTGACGCTGTCCACGTGAACCCTGCTTCAATTGCAGATAGAACCTGTGGTGTTCCGATTGACTCGAATACAGAACTCGAGGTGTATACCGAGTGTTTCTACGTCGCCATGCAGCTACTACAGGGTCAAAGCCTCACCACGCACTCCGCTCGGGAAGATATTTTTGCGTCTGGTGTAAATCTATTGGGATCTATCGTACTGGCTGTGATCTTCGGTCATGTGGCAATGCTAGTGGCAAACTTCAACGCGAACTCCACGGCCTACCAACGTAAAATGGAGTCCGTGTTTGCAGGTATGACCAAGATGCAGCTACCCGCACCTTTGAGAGAACGAATACACCAATATTACGCGCATTTATGGCGTGAATACGAAGCTTTAGATGGTGCACCATTGGAGCGTTTTGCTAAAGAACTTTCTCATAACCTTACGCTCGAAGTTGTACTCTTCAAATACATGGAGTTAGCCATGCACGTTCCGTTCTGGGAGAGCTGTTCGCCCGATTTCCAGAAAACTCTGGTGCTGAGTCTTGACACTCGCGTGTATCTCCCCGATGATTTTATTGTGCGTCGTGGAGAAGTTGGAGACGAGTTTTACATGATCAATCGAGGGATGTGCGAGTTGGTGGGGAGTAATGACACTCAGGAACACGCAACGGGGCCACTAGCTCGGCGAAGCTCGCAGCTTGGGGATCACGGTGATACTTCGACACTATACACAACGTCTCTTGATGGCACAGCTTATCCGGATCGTGACGACCAAGGCGCTCGAGCTGTGTCTCGAAATTCGCGTGTAAATCCTGAAGGTCGTAACCCTACAATTAAGACTTTAACGCGTGGTCAAGCGTTCGGTGAGATGGCGCTACTGATGAACTACCAGCGAACGGCCAATGTGCGTGCGATGACGTATGTCGAGATGTGTGTACTGAGTCGGACCGCCTTCCAAGCTGTCCTAACCAGGTACCTGGCTGATCGTAAGCATGTTATCTCCCAGATTCTAATCTCGTCGCTGGAAAACAACGAGCGGTTCGGTATTCCTTGTCATCTTACAGCCATGGTTCGCTCCATATTCGCTGATGAGGTGGACGGAGTGGCTAATGGTGAAAAACTCATCACCCCTCGACGCGCTGCTAAGCTGGTTGCGTGGGCAGTAAACCCAGACGTCGAGGATGATTCCATTAAATTTTCACTGAGTAATAAGCTCAAGGACCAGCTTGTTGTCATCCGCGATCAGGAGTTCGGGGCTACAACACTTATCGATGATGATACAACGGGTAAGACCTGTGGCAGCACACCCGCTCTACCTTCACCCAGATCGTGGGAAATTCGAAAGCGCGGCCGTGACGGCGAGAACCTGACGGAATGTGGCTGCACTTGCCACTGCTCTAGTCTTTCTGTGTCAAAGATCATAGCGAATTCGGAGCCTGAGGTGGATTCGCAAGTCGTGAAGCTCGAAAGTGCGCAAACGCAAGCGTTATCATTAATCCAAGAGCTCCAGCGCGGGATTCACGACATATTACATCATACTCGGCAACTACCCCAATTGAATGACGTCGATACCAGCTTGGACCCCGGTCAGAGCGCCCCGAACAGTGTCCCCGCCATTGTTCCGACAACCTCGACTGCTAGCACCAAGCCGATGATTACGATCCAGCAGAGACGGTCGAAATTCATTAGCTCTCGATCGACTTCAGCCCCCAATTTTGCAGATCTGGACTTGTCAACGAGGCTCGCTTCGGACGAGAGCGCAGAGACCGAACTAAGCTTAGAAGCTATTAAGTCGAAACCAACCGTCACTGCTCCCAGGCCGATTCAGCGAGCGATGACTGCGCGATGGCTAAAAAATACCGAAACCACGGAGAGCGGTGGAGAAGCAAGTGTAAGGGATGATAAATCCAAAACTGCAATCACTCCCACTAAACCGATTCAGCGAGCGGTGACAGCACGGTGGCTGAAAACATCTGAAAGCACCCACCCGTTGAGACTCCAGAACTCATTTACACCTTTGGTGCGACCCCGAGCTCCATCCGGTAGCAGCTCTCAACGGTTCATTCAAAGAGTGACACACCAGTTGGCAAGTTTGGCGACGTCTTCTAATTCGATGGTGCAAGCTTCGCCCACAAGATACGCCGACAAGCTTTTCGGAACGGCTCACTCGACTCGAGAGACTGCCCCGGGCACGACCGAAATGTCGTTTAGAGAAGACAGCAACATATCTGAGGCAAGGTTCTAAATCAGCAGTGAAATATTTTTCTATGGCTGAAGACCACATGAATTAAAATCCTGTAATTTGTTATTAATAACTATAATATAAAAAACGAGGGTCAAATGAGACAACGTCAAACAAAATGATACCTACGAACCATTTACTTAAAGTTGGCCAATTGATTTTCGCACTTAACCGAAATATTGACATTTATTGTAAACTTCCATCGAAAAAACTGTAAAACTACCCTTATTCAATTGCTTTTAACAAGAGCTTTTAAATAACACTTAAATCTCTAAAATTGAAAAATATATATGACCTCACAACCAGGGGCTAATGGTAACCAAATATCATATGATACTAGCGCTCTGGGCGCCCGCTCCGCGGACGCTAGGGCATGGTTGACTGGTGTAGAGAGGGTTGACCACTCCGCTGCGCTGCGGTGGGCTCAGAAACCCTTACTCAAAGCAAAACTCCATTTAGAATATAAAATATACTCTGCTCAAGTTATGTTGCGTTGCAACAAACGATGTACACAATATCCTTAGTGTTTACGTGTTCTACATCACCAATTGCCTGTCAGCCTACCTCTTGTATTATTTGAAGTCATTTTTGACAGCCTCACTTATAAGAGGTCCGCGTGACGACTGGCTGTTACAAATAGATACCCGCGTGATGGATGGCTATTGTTGAGCATCATGGTACAGGTAGACGTGACAGTAAACTATTGCGAAGATGAAGTCTTCGCCGTTACCACCGGGGCTATGAGTCATCTGCATGATGAACACTGTCTTTCCCTAAAATATTTTGTCTTAATTCTCGGCTGAGCGCTTCGCTCCTGAAATGCCACACTTTCAGGTGCGCTTCATTGCAAAGTTACTTTCGGTTATTTAGAAGGTGGATCAGTATTATTGGTGCGCCAAACCTCAGCATAAATCGGTGAGGAGATCTCAGATAAGTTTAGCGCTAGTAAATACGACGACCGAAGTGTATTGGGATACAACGACATCGGGTGAATTGAGTGACGTGTACTATTTGTCTAGCCGAGAGGTATTCTATACCATATAGCTGATTGCGACGGTCCGCTAGAGCGAGCTTTGTCTGTCTCTGCATGCATATTATTGTTTAGAGCCGCTAGTATCTGCCGAGGGTCACAGAATATACCAATTTCGCCTCTCCATATGCCTCGCTGAGCTCTTCATAGTATCATGATATCGGTGAAGGGCCTGTACGTGATGTTCGCTGACTCGTATCAATAAATTAGATTGTACTTAATAATAAATTTAATCTCATAACCCTTCTATGATAGGATGAACGCCATTGACTTACTTACCGACTTATTTGCATAGCTAATGATTATCAGAGATCTGTATATCCTTTCCGAGTGACATTTACTGGCTCCGATATGTATGGCGAGCATACGAAGCCACTTGGCTGTAGGCGTATTATCAGATCGTAGTGATACGTAGACTTGTATCGAATAGTAGCCCGTGTACGTTACATAAAGTACTTTCGCTGTCTACTTTTCAGTTCGGCGTCCTATTTGATGTGTCAGTGCATAGCTCATTTCGCAAGGTCGCAAATGGGTATATATGTTATGCCCTCGAGATAGCCAAAACCTATGCATAGGGTCACTGTCGCTTTCACGGTACATTTGCGTCGTCGTGCTGGCTTACTGTGCTTACGCTTCGGATGTATCAGTCTATATGACCAAGCAGGTCACTTACTGGGCACAGGCCATACTGCAGCGATACTGGCAAGCTGGCCGCGCGTCTGTCACCTGTATTCAACGCAGTATCTACGCGCGCGGCGGGTACACCTTATAGCTGTCCGCGACTGAGCCGAGCTCTTATCTTGACCATTATGGACAGGGCACTATGGTATAGTACTGCGTACAGACAGTTCGACTTACCACACCCACCGGTATTGTTTGCGCTACCGCACACGTGCTCGTATCTATGTAGACAGCAACTTAATCGTCGCGTGTAGTGCTCACTCGATGCTGTAGTTTCAATTTGTGAGCGCACATTAATGGAACATACGCTGTGAGCGCTGATGTCACATATAGCATGGTTTGCATGTATCCAAGTGAGCGAGTGTACTCTCGATCTATTGTTATGCGGAAGCAGATAGGGACGGTCAGCTTGCAAGGATTCGCAGTAGACATCATGCGCTAATTATTATTTGAAGCGCGCTACCCTCTGTAGGTGCGTCAACACTATTGGCAGCGCCATAGTCAACTTACCGTTAATGCGGCCCCAAGCCTCGCACCGTCAGCCAGTATACCAAAAACAAAAATAGGTAGGAAAATGGGGGCCTTAAAGGGTATATTTACCAATTACTTGCTCTTCTGCTGCTTCTTTTGCTCGATGTACTTGGCGTTTCGGGCGGTCAGCTTGCGAGGGCGGCTGCGCCTCTTTTTCCTCTTGGGGTACCAGTCAGGGTCCATCGCCTTCATGGCGTTTGCCAGGCTTTCCTGGCGGCGCACGTTGGTCGAATCAGGTGGTGGGAACTTTTCCTCCCAGAACTCAACCGCTTTTGGACCGTTCTCGCAGGCAATACAGCGCCGCACGATGTCCCGCCCGCTCATTGTACGGAGCGCGTAACCCTGCTGCAGCTTCACACAGCAGATGCAGCGCGCCAGTGGGTCCATCGTAGACCGCTGCGGGTTCAGCAGAAGCTGGTCAATCTTCGCCTCGCATTGCTTGCACGTAGGGCCCACCATATTGCAAACTGTGAGTAAGTAAGCAAAACTTATTGTTTTAACCAATTACTTGCGTCAAAATATTAGCCAATAGCACGGTACTGTAAGGCTGCTATTTATTATTAGGCAAAATATTAAAATGTTTTTAAATATTACTATTTGGCTTTGCTATAATATATTATTATCAGATTTCCAAACAAATACATACTTTACATGCAATATAAATTGACTAAAAGACTATGTACCTTGCGCGCATGCATTCGTCGGGTGCGGTGCACGGAAGCAGATAGCGCAATGAGCGTGCAGCCGCGCCCCTTCATTGCACGGTGGCAGTGGTGAGTGCCAAGTGAAGTAAGAAAGATATATATCACAAAGTCCCTACAAAAAGCGCTGGTCGTGAAGCCTACTTTAAAATAAAAATTACTATCGTCTCTACTTTAATGAGTGTGTGTGGAAAATAGCATCGCCGAGCTCTTACAAATGCGGCCTGTGAAGCTTATATTAATATCGTCTTTACTTTGAAAAGTGTGTGGAAAATAGCATCCCAGAGCACTTACAAAATACTGGTCTGTGAAGTCTACATTAATAATAATAAATATTTTTTTTTGAGAAAGTGTGCAGAGCTCTTAGAAAATAAAGGGGTTACTATGCCCGATTTGCAGTACATACGACAGGTTTGGCGTAGCTAAACGTCAATAATCAATCATCTGCGCAGCTCGCCTGGCTGTTTGCAGCCAATCGATGTGTTTCATTCTCGGCAGAAATGTTTACCTTACGTCCAATCGCGAGGGCGAGAGGCGGTCTGATCGTGCGACAGATCCAGTCAGTGTCGCAGGTCGGCATGTATTGCCCAATCAGATGGCGAGTTAACTGTGTGACGCTTTTGGATATATATGTAATTTTGGCATAGTTAGGTCGAGTCAGAAAGGTAGGCGCGGTCGGTAGGATGGGCCAAGTGTAGCCATGCGAAAAGGCAGGAAAAAGCAGCAAGAAAGGAACCGGACGGACTTATTGACAGACGGACACGCTAGAAGGTTAAGAGGCGGAAATTTTTTGATAGTAGTAGAACTATTTTCGATATTAAATAATAACAGTAACTCATTTTTGCAAAAGTTAACATAATATTTTAATATTAACTCGGAGAACTGAAAAATATTAGATACTACATGATATTTTATGATATTTTCCCACTCAAGTACGTTTCTTGCCACCTTACCCTAGCGGAGCCAAAAAAACTTTTTCGATCAGGTTATAGAAAAGCAGTAGGCTTTAAGACTGATGAGTATTTGCTCTAGTATTTCACTGTGACACAGACAAAGGCGATCGAGATGGAAAACTGCAAACGCTTGCAGCGGTTTAACGTTGATAGAGCGAAATCAAGACATTCGTTCTTGTTCTCTACCGATCTCCTCGTCCACATCGTGCGTCTAATAAACCTGCTGCCTGTGGCGCTAGATTAATGCGCTCAGCAGTGCCAACACACGACGCCAACCTTGCCGCCACTCTCACAATTGTCCCTCCCTCACGGTTGATTAGTAATACTTCAGCTAGTCGAGCGTTAGCGACATCTGATTGGTGAATTTAGCCCGATTACGCAATATTTGAAAAATATAATATCGTATTAACTAATATTAAGCTGATATTTAATAATATCATATTGTCTCAGAAGAAAATATTAGGTGATATTTTTTATATTAGCTGGTCTACAGGTAATATTTTCACAATATTAACTTCACCGATTTTGGAGTTACCATTAACCCCTGCTCACAACACTCCTAAATGTATCGTCATTTCAAGGGCCCATAAATGAAGATAATATTTTTGAGCGACCACAAATTCTTCAGTTTTAAACATTCTGCAGCTTATAAGGGCTTAAAAGATAGAGGAGACGCCCCGCTTTCGTTTAGAGTGCTTAAATCGCGATTCGTACTTAGGTTCATAAGTATCATTTAGATTTGGGTTGTATCAAATATTTTTAAAAAAAAATCATACTGGTATTCAATTTAACCCCTTGAACATATTAGACACGATGTAAAAAAATGCTTATCCAGGACCATACACGATAAGGATTTTAAGCACAAAATTTGTAAAAGTGCCTGATTGTCTCACCTACTCCTTTTGCATTCTCTAAAAATTAAAACTAAGAGGTTTTAGGGTGATGTGGACTACGTACGATAAACTCTTACAACCAACATCTCACACAAGAGATGGTGAATGCCACTTTCAACTATCAAAGTATCACATGTCAGTGATGTTGGTGAAGCATCAGCTAGTAGTCCTCTCCTCCTCCGGTAATGCGACAATTTGTTGTCATTGTGCCCGC